ATCAATCTAAAGCAAATGATTGATCACTCTGATACATTTCCTTAGAGAAGCAATGGAAGCCACCACTGCTACACGTATCTCCACGGAGCTGTTACTCTACGACACTGGTTATAGCTCCATCAGTTACAGGAGACTCCGTCTTCACGACTTGTGCAACACGGTATGTGTCTCGTGCCACCACGCTAGGGAGCCCTGGGTGGCTTCACTTACTCATGCCATGTGTATACTTTAGCCAAACAAGGCCTAAGGACACTCCAGGGTGGTACAGAAGAAGGAGGGGCGAGGAAGCTAAAGGCGAGGTAGTGTGGTCTGATGGTTGAAGCCAGTGATTTAGAGGCTGTTGATACCGGGCAGACAGCCCAGGCTCAGTCACTGACTCACTGTGGATGACGCTGCATAAGTCACTACACTTAAAATGTCCTCATGTGTTTAGAGCTGTTCAAGTGGAAATCAGGCGCACTCACACAGCTGGAAATCGCTACTGGATCTGATTTTCTTGTTTCTCTCTTGCTTTTCCCTGAAGCTTTCATAAACAGATGGCAGAGGCTCATTAAGCTGTTGTCAGGACTATTAATGACATTGTGAACACTTTCCGAGGTCTGTATGCCTTAAGGCGAACGATTGCCAAATCCGGGCCATTAAAGAAGGTGTGAGAGTAATACAATGCTGCTGTGTGCTGCAAGGTGAGGGATGGATGCCATGAAAGAAAAGTACACACATGGTTGAACGACTGTTAGCAGCAGGCTGACGTTAATGATTTCATGTTAGTAGCGGGGCTGTGAAAAACGGAATAATGTGATGTGATTTGAGCACTGTTGAAGTATGCTGAATGCTTTGACCCTGCAGTGCTACATTGCATGCTTACTGTATGAGTTATAAGTGCTTTGGTTCAATGATAGAAGAGCCACAGTCGTACTATCAGATGCTAACAATTCATGTGGATAATACTTTCTGTTCTTTTGCTGTGCAAGTTTACAAAATATTTATAGTCCTAACAAGTTTAAAGGGGCAAGTATACTTTGCAAAAACTGCATGTCAGATTGATGAACAGTTTCACAAACCGCCTTCTCCAACATCTTTGTGACATTAGATCGGGGTGGGTCTGCACATGACGGACAATTTCTATAACTTTTTGAAGCGGCCGATCTCTCATTCACACCTATGATGATTGGTTAGCTGTGCAGGTATAAGAGGAGACCTTTTTGGCTTTTGTTTTCATACTTGGCCCAAATATTTCTGTCACACATATGCAGCACTATGAATGTCTTCCAGGAGACAAAGTCTGAAAATGTGGGCTCACTATGTTGGCCAAGTCCTTGTACACACTTCAGAGTTCTGATGTGATCAGATAACTCCTCATACAAACCGTTCTGATAGTAGACCTGAGAGGCTACAGCCATGCATGGGGCACTGCGGAGCTATATTAGGGATGATAATGTTGGGTAGTTAAATGTTGACTGAATTCACCATCTTATTTTTGCATATTGGCATGCCGATTAGCATTCAGCACAATGTACAGTGTCGGCTGAATTTAAATTAATTATATTCATTTCAACCACAACATTAGCCATGTTTTTACTTGATATCTGCACTGCATTGGAGCAAACTGCAGTCCATCCTGCGGGAAAGACGGAAGTGTGTCTCAAACTGCATTCACTCCATTCAGAAAGCCACAGTGGTGCTAGAGGACAGATGTGACGTTACCCGATTCAGGACTTTCATGTTGCCATACATAGAAGGTATTCCAGGGTCCGCTGGACTCCAAGAAAGAATATGTGCAAAACATTTGTTGGTATTTATTATAGACTTTTATACTGTGTTAAATAAATTTTCTGATAAGTTGATGTATTTTTGGTTCAAAATGTATGACAAATGTCCCTCTTTTTTATATTTAAAAAAATTTCAAAAATAAAAAAATCAATACCTGCTACCGAAACCAAATGGCCTGGGGTCCAAAAGACTCCAAAAGTCCTGAATAGGGTTAAGGTTCATCCTCTGGGGACCCTGATTGTCTGCACCACCGTTAATGGAAATTCATCCAGTTATTACCGAGATATTTCAGAATTTCTGATCCAAGCATATTTAAAATAACAAGAGCTGAAAATGGACTTATTCCAATTTTTACAGCAATTTGGAAAATAAACGTTGTGCTGTTTATGTTTACAGCTGTTTTATTCAGTCAAATAGTAATAATCATACTTTTTCTAGCAGCTTCGCAGATGAACCCTGCTGAACCTGCAGTTAAGTGTTGGCCACCTCTACCAACACTCAGGGACAACATAGGTGGACTTATGAACTGTGAGGTGTGAGGTAGTGGTTTCTGCCTGCTCGGAATGGAAACATTGAAAATGCACAGATGGAGTTCTGTCATTACCCCCGTTGTGTGTTTGCTCACGATTATGATGCCGAGTTATGAAGCAAACAATGCAGCAACAGAATGGACAGCGAGAACAGAGCAAACTTTCAACGTCTCCTCAGTCTGGGAAACAGCGGAGGCGGCAATGAGAGCTCTCAGAGCACCAAAGTCATGTTGTTGATCCTTATGTGGTCACACTCAAACCTAACCATCATCCCTTGGGATATCCTTTCAGAGGGTCAGACGCTGAGTGCATGAGAATTCCCCCACTGACCCTGCAGAAATAAAAGGGCGAAGCAGGTGGTATCTTGTCATAAAATTATCCTTCCCTTTGCTTGTTTTACTTACACCAATATTGAGTTAACAAAATATGACGAGACAAATTAATGCAAAGAGAGTTTCAGAGTTCATCTACGTTCTGAAATGTCATCAAATAAAAGAGACTAAGTTTATTCTGAATAATGTGGAGGGCAAGTACTGCAAGACAAGACATTTTATATGGATGTCTGATTATTTCTTCCTGTGTATGCATGTGTGTGTGTGTCTGCTCTGAGCCTGTGCCTCACTATGTCAGCTTAGAACTGCAGTCTGTCGAACTGTGATTCTTTTGGTCTATCTCTCCCAGCAGATGTACTTTTCTCTGCTCCACAGCTGCATCCCACATGTTTTCACGCTGTTTGACAATGCAGCTATATTCTTTTCTGTGCTTGGAGCTCTAGTGTTAGTGGTGGTGGTGGCAGATTCCCTCTCTTCATATGATCCTATTCCTTTTCCTTCCTTTACATCCAGAATACAGCAGTAGCACTTTGGCTATACTTGGTCCTGAAATGCCTTCTAGTTGGGTAACGTAAAGAATGTAGAGGGTGGGGGGTCAGATCTGGCAGGGTCCGCCATGGCTTCATAGCACACACAGTCATTTCCATAATTGCCCACAATCAAACCAACCCCTCCTGGATTCCACCCGCTTCAGATTCCTGTAGATAAGCTGAGCCAGGGCTCTAGTGAGTGCTGGAGACCCCCAAGTAAGAACAGGTGCCGCTAATGTAACTGATTTCAGGTTCTCTGTGTATCCAACAAAAGGGAGGAAGGGGGGGGGGAGCTGTTGTTTCTCCAGTAATTGCCACGGTTGGACATTCCCGTTTGGATTGCTATCATGTGACTTTTCCGAAGAGGGGAATGAACAAGGAATTGTCCCACATTTGGTATTATCAGGAGACTTCAGGGGCAAATTAAGATGCCTTACAGTGTGTCCCGCAGTACGGCAACAAATTGCTCAGGTCATCAGTGATTGATTCCCATCGTAGCCAATTTTCCACGGCCTGCAACACATGTAATTCTTCTGCGGCTACCAGAGTAAACCCTCAAACCATATTAAGAAACAAAGTCAAACAACCCATGACACAGTATGTGATGTAACATTATGTTCTCCGTTTTCATAATGCCAGAGTCTTGCAGAAATATCAGTTGCCTCTGCCATAAAGTTAGTCATGCAGAGACAAATGCGTGTATCGTTTTTATAGGCTACATTATATACCGTATATTTTAAAGACGTGGCTCTGGTGCGTGAGTGTTAAGGAAATCCAACGTATGGATAGAGGTGAGAGATGTGCTCAGATTCTTTATGTAGTAGCCTGAAAGTACTAAAAGTAAAACATAATCCATTAAAATCAGAATTTTACATATGTACAATAGTATTATAGGAGAAATGCAATTGAAGTTGTATGCTGTATATTTTATGACAATAACCTTGAAAGAAGCATTTAAATGTTGTGCATGGCTGAGAGGGAGTCTGTGTTGACTTCATACTTATAACAAGGCATATTTCGTAAGCTGGCCATATGTTTTGTATGTGAAATCATTATCTGCAGAGTAATTACAAGTTTTTTTTTATCTTAAATGTAACGCAGCAGGAGTTTTTTTTTTTTTTTTTGGTATAAAATAGCCAGTATTGGACTCAAGCTTAGTATCTCAACTGTAACTGCACTTTGAAAGTCACATTCAGCTGCCACTAAGAAATAAAAACAGAGGAATGTGGTTTACACGACCAATAACCATGAAGGTTATTCATCTGCAGAAGCGGAGTAAGAGGGTTATCTTTTTATTAATGGATTGGGAAATTCAGCAGAAAGTTCGTATTTTATGTTTTCCCTGATCTATTATCAACATATGTCATTTACATTTTGTTTACATCAGAGGTTTAACTTGGCAGAAGATGAATGATTCTCGTTTATATTTACTGTTTTGTTTTTTTTTTCAGGTCCAGTGAGCACTCAGCACCACTCCCCCCCTCCCCTCGCTGCCTCCGGTCTCCGCGCGCCCCTCCGTCAGGTAACCGCTTACCTCGACGTGGACGCGGCTGCGGCCACATGCGCGCCCCCGCGGAGTCATACGTCACCGCGCTCGCTCCTCTTCTCGCGCGCTGGTTAAAAAGAAGGAGGAAAGAGCACGAGAAAACATGTGAGCGCTCTGAGGACTTTAGTGAGAGGCAACTTTTATTTTCTTATGTGTTTTTTTTCCAACCCGTGCATGTCCACACTCTCTCTGAAGGAATTACATCTGAAAAGGAACGTCACGGCTCTTTTTTGTGTTCATCAGGATAAATTGTCTTATTGCTTTGCTTTTATTTTTATTTTTTTCTACATTTTTAAAAAAATATTTTGTGCTATATAATCAAAAGAAGCAATAATTTATTTTTAAACACCTGCCTTCATAGCAGTGAATCAAATTTTGGGACACCTGCGTTTACAAACAACTAATTTGTAATTCTCTGAAACGAGAAAGACTGCTTGGAGAAATAGAGCTAAAATAAATATAGCCTACATATACCTTCTGCACTGCAGGTTAACCTCTCTCTTTTGAAAAAAAAGGAGGTATATCTTGTATTTTTCCTTTTATATATATATATTATTATTATTATTACTATTATTATTATTTTAATTTTATGATTTTTTGAAACTATGAAGCATTTGCAATTTGTGCTCGTCCTGGCAATCGCGGTCAACGTGTGGGAATGTGGGGACGCAAAGTTCGGCGAGAGGGGAGAGATAAGCCCCAGGAGGAGAAGATGTTACGACGGGAGCTTGCCCAAGCGGCTGAAGAAAAGGGAGCGAAAAGTGTTGCTTGACGGCAGCAGCAGCGGAGAAGTTTGCCACAGGTTGTATCCTCGGGTGTCCTGCTGTCCCACCAGGAGAGCCGCCTATCAGATCTTGCACCGCAGGGATGCCAGGGTAGGTTAAAGTCCATCCACCACGTTGCATTTGCCTCAAATTAAAAGGACTGGGTGTTTTTTATTTTTACTGCCGGAGCGCCTCAGGAGATGCGTTTACAGCCCTTGTGTATTGTCATCCTGCGTGTTATTGCCGACAGCTGAACGTTGGGATGGTCGAAGGAAGCTGCCCCGGGGCTGTGCTGCTCCACAGTCCCGAAGAGAACATTCAGATACACTCAGTGACACGTTGTACTCACCTTACCACACCTTGTGTTTTTACACATTTGTTATTAGAGTGTGAAATCCCTCGTTTGCGACCTACTGCGCGGGTTATCGCGGTTTATGTTTTTAGCCTGTCTTTTTGATATCAACAACCTTCTGATAGCAACTTACTCTGCTCGTATCTGTCTTTTTCCTGACGGTTTACTCGCTTGTTTTACCTGCTCTGAAATTGAAGCAACTTGCATGCGTCCGGGATAAATGTACATTTTGTTTACCAGGTATGTGTCTTTGCACAATCTGGTGCAGCTCTAATTCAGCGTGTCCAATGCGCTTCGGCGTTACCATGGCAATCGCTCGCCGATTTACGTTACTTGTTCAGTGAGCTACAACTGTCAGGACAGAGGCTACTAGCTAAAGTGTTGAACCCGAAAAGGTAGGAGCCCGGTTGTACTTTTTAATCAACCGTCGACGTTTTTGTTTTTATTTTTTACCGCAACTGGGAGCTGATAGTGGTTTGTTTTCCTTGTCGTGTTTCACAGAGTTAACGTACAGACATTTGTTTGTTTCACGTATTTGCTGGAAACTTCCATTAAATGTACCAAGCTAGCGCCTTTTTACCAACAGTCCTGTCGCTGTAGCGTCGACCGAAGTGGTAAAAATGCGTGTTAAAATGTCGTGTAGCATTAAGCTAAAGGGTTTAAACCTCTCCTCGAAATGCAGGAGGAAAAAAAAAGCCACTGTATGCGCCAGAACTTGTAGCGGATTCTCATCGGGCCATTCTCATGTAAACCACCCCTCGAATCATTCAGTGGCTGGGTGGTATCTCACTTTGTGTTGCGACAAAAAGCCATATTGCATCATTTAATTTGCTCAAGTCATGCAAATAAGAGGGGGGGAAACTGAATGGGACGAACTCGACTTCTCCTCCTCCCCACTACACTGCCCACACACGGAGCCCTTTCTGATTATGGCAAAAGAATAACAACAACACCATTGTGTTTGTTGGTTTCACTAATGGGAGAAGCTGGAGAACATCACTCTCCCCCAGTCATCAGCCCTGTCCAAGTGTTAATGCCTTTGAGAGGGTGTGTGTCCTTCACTATATCCCCCTGCCAGCAAACTTACACCTATTCCCTGAGGACAAGTGTTTTGTTAAAGCTTAGTGTTGCCTACCTCAGTGCTCTGCCCCCCTTTTCACTCTTAGTCTCCCTGACCATGAGAAGTTTGCAGATTTTTTTTATTTTTTTTGCAGCTGAATGGTATTTTTTGTTTTTAAATGAGCTAATATTTATTAATATGTTTGTTCCGGCAATTTTGCTGTCAAGCCATGATGCAGATGCGATCATAAAAAAGAAGTAATCCTGTAACAGCTGTTCTCCCACATGAAGCTGAACATTGCAGGTGTGAAGCCAGTATTATAAAATGCAATGTAAACATTGGGAATAGCTTGGGAATAAGTTACTGACAATTTTATTTCCTTACGCCATTATAGTTCCATGTTTCTGATTATGGCTCTGTTCTTGACCTCAGCAAAAGTGCAACAGCTGACCCTCATTACTATTTTCTCCCTGATTTTTGAGGAACATACACACTGAGATTCAGCAAAAGGCAACAAACAAAGGTCCACTTGTTCTGGTTTGGATGATGGCAACATTGGAGCCCATCCCAGCAGCATATGGACACAGGGCATGGCTGAGAGCACACAAATGCTACTCTCTGTGGACCCTGTGCCAGCCCATGGCACACAGAATCAATGGGCAATTTAGAGCAGGCGAGCAGGCATGCCTGTACACTACATGGCATGAGTGTAGAGGGCACCGAGACAGAGGAACACACCACACATACAGGGTCATAGCCAGCCTGGAGCTCCCTTTTTGAGGAAAATATTAACACTACAAATTATAGAGCAAAATGTCATTTCGATTGGAGTTCATATGAAAACCCAGATAAACTTGAATTTCGTCTTCCTCATCATTTAGTCCTTTATACTGCCTTCTATAATGAGGTAGTCCCTGTGTATATGTCAATATATCTTTCAGCTGGACTCACAGATTTTTCCATAGGTTCAGCCACCTGTTGGATAAACACAGCTCTGTACAACGTCTCAGCAGAAAGTCTTTTCCTGAGTTGCAGTTTGTTCTGCAACCAGAGTGAATTGTAAGGTGTCCATATGTTAGCCTTGGGTCCCCCGGTCTAATTGACTTCGACAGACTGCTAATTTGTTGATACCAGAGTGGGAATGATGTGCCTGTCTATCTCTAAATTGGTGTTTACACATGGACCTCACACAGAGCAAAGCACTACCAGCCTGCCTGCCTGCCTGGCTGCCTGGCTGCCCAAGCAGCACCACTCTTGACCTAAAACAGATTACATTGTGTTTTATTATAGCTAATTTGTTATGTAAATAATCCTGCTAATTTCTTTTGGATTAACTCTATGTGTACTTTTGCGTAATGACCCCCAGGCTCTTATTTGGCTTCATTCATTTCATGCTCTGAGATCTGTCAGAAGTGGGAATTGTAATTTGACTTTAACTGTTTGTGAACTTGGGTAAGTAGGCAGAGAATTAGAAGATTTCTTTGTTTATTTCTCCAAAAAGAAAGGGGGTTCCAACCTCAGTGCTTAGCAATTTGGTATCAAAGAATAGAGACTATATAAGAGTATTAGGATTGCATGATGTGAAAATATTAATTTAATTTAACAAAAAATAAAATTGCAGATTTTTGAAACTTTGAAAACTAAGACGAACGAGAAAAAGAGTCAACAGCACTACTTACTAGTGATGAATTGGAGTGCCTTTTTGATGTGTTGATTTAGACTGAGTAGAGATGCTGCAGAGTTTGTAAATATATAAATATATATTCAAGCTCAAGCACTTTAGTCATTAAATGATGACATTAAATTTGTGATGTGTCTTGGGCAGTCAGAAATAGGTCCATGACATTTAGTGTTGCTTTACACATTGTTGCCAGCTAGAGAGTCTCTCGTTGTGTCAAATGGGAGAGGGGGTTTGTTAACGTAAAGCTACTAATGTGAATGTGCTGTTGTATCTTGAGTATTTTTGTAGGGTTAAGAGACTTTCTGTTTGGTACGTGGGGTGGATTTGGCTAATTTTGTGCTGATGTATGGGAAAGTTTTGTGAGGCATCTGTGTGGTTTTTTTTTTAAATTTTAATGAAAGATCTAAATATTTAATCAAAACCATTAATTTTACACATGCTGTGAGCTTATACATACGACTCTTAACTTTTAAAAGGTTTGCTAAGTATAACAGTTTACCTTTAAATGGTAATTTGAACTCACCAAGATAATTTTAAACTTCTCAATTTGTATAGTTATAGCCTTGGAAAATCTCATACTGTGTCTAAAGTGGTCAGGAATGAATGATATTGAAGAATTGAAAGTGCAGCTTATAATCTAAACTTTTCCTACTTCATAGTGCAATATTTACGATGTTAATATCACCAAAGTTCTAGCAAATCCTAAACTACACGTCGGCTTTGCCTGTGTAATATGAAGTAAGTGGTAAAAGTTAACAGCACGCCATTTTAATCAGGCATTGGTTTCTTGTTGCGTGTGGTCTCCAGATTTTCTCCACCAACAATACAGAATGTGGACGTCTCCTGGAGGAGATCAAGTGTGCTCGCTGCTCCCCCAATGCCCAGGTGTTGTTCCACTCCTTGGACATGGATAAGATGCCACACAGGGAGCCAGACCTGCCGCGGCTCTGCCAGGACTTCTGCCGCGAGTTCTACTACACCTGCAGGGGGCACATACCAGGTAATTACACAGATAATAATGGTCATGAATGTAACTTTAATTATTGCCTGTGTGGTTACCTGGTGGTACGCAAGCAAACATATACACAGGAACGGAGTAAGTGAAAGTAAGCATACGTTATACATGCTCATTTAAGTCTCTCACACATTTGAACTAACATGTCTGATTGTGATTAATTAAAATTCACAGCAGGCCTCATTTCTTATTGAGACTCAGCTTGCACATGTAGAACTGGCAGATTTTTGGACTTATGCAAGAAGTGGTGCGTCAGTAGTCTGGTCTGTGAATATTTATTTATCCAGCTCTTACCTCATCTGACCTCACCTCCATTTGTTGCTGAGCTTGTCTTACCGCTCACTTGCTTGCTGCCTTGTTCCCTATTTTACTGTTATATTTTAATGCATCAGTAAAATCTCTTGCCACACTTAACTTATACAGACACACCAAGACATCAGTGTGAACACTCATGTAGCACAACTAAATTAGCAAAGCAAAGCAGAATATTTTTGCTCTTTATGAGACAATATTCAGGCAAGCATAAATTTATGTCACCAGGTGCAGATATTTTTTGTTTTCTTGTCCTTTTTAGGTTTGTTCAGATTATGCAAGTTTATTTTAGTCAGTACAAGTTTGACCTTGAATGTAGTAACAATACACAGATTTGACACATTTCCTGATGTGTAAATGGAAAATATTAGATTCAGAAAGGTGGGTGTGAAAACAAATTTCTCAGTACACTGACAAAAGCCAGCCCGCCTGACCGGTGTACCAGAAAACTTGACTGACTGGAGCAAAATCAACTATTTTATGACCTATTCCTGGATGCTGTTCGCCAGACTCAACTCCTGGGCTTGATTCTGTATTTGGGATGCATGTGCACCCTAGCTGAAGTCTAGACATGACTGCTGGGTGCTTTGCCTTCCTCAGACATAAACTGTCCCCTTCAAACCCGTGTCTCATGCTGTGCCATTACAGTGTTTTCTTTGAATAATAAGTTCACGATTCTAAACATAGTTGAAGTGTTGAAATGTCGTCCCTACTTGAGTTCCACTATGAGATAGGAGAATCCACAAAAAAGGGAAGAAGCTCATTGATCCAACAGTTCACCTTGTGTATATGGTACTGTTACATAGGAACCCTTCTGCCCCCTGAAAGCATTTACTCTTCAGAAGAATTTCCTTTGAAGGGATGCAAGATCACAGGTACCTATGCCTTCAGAGTGCATACCAAACATGATCAAACACTTTTTGACTGTCTCTTCTCCTCCAGCCAAGTCTTCTTCCAATCTCTGTCGCCACAAACTGATTAGATCTGCTGAGATTTGCAAACAGAGAACAGTTTCAAACACACTTGTCTGCAACCCACCCACATGGTACTCTGTAGCCAAATAGCAAACACATACATTCCATCCGAGTCCATCTGAGTCTGCATCTAATGACCAGTAGGCATATCATGTACAACACTTCAACCACAGTTGAGGTTGGCGAGTGGGGCTCCACAGAGCAAAGACAGAAGGAGGAAGAACAAGTCTTGTCTGGAGCTCTATAACTTGCTCATGAACTGAGAGTCAAACCAAAAAAGCTCAAGAGAAGAATCCGGAGAAGAATCCCCCCCTCCCCATGTTCGCTGCTGTGCTCCTCCCTGCTCACCCCCCCCCTCCTCAGCCCCCCACAGATCAGCATATGTGGTGACGAATGACACATTTATTTTTCTACAAAGGTTGTGTGTATGTAAAACTGCTGAAGTGCATCAAGATGTCAAGTACTTTGGGTGGGCCACCCAGGTTGCCTTGGAAGATAACCAGATGGAAGTATAACTTTAGCGCTGGGGAGCCAGGAATATGGACAGAGTTCTGTCTCTCACTCTCTGTTTCTCTCCCTGTCTTTCCCTGTTCCTTCTTCACTCTCTCTGTCTCCTATCTTTTTTCTTTTGCATGCTACTCTTTGCCTATTTTTGTTTTGTTACTGCACATATTACTGCATAGCTATTACATATTTCAACAAATTGTGAAAATGTGTGCACACCCTACTAACTACAGACAGGTTCTTTTGATTGAATCCTATAACAGAGAACAATATTTCCCTTCGATGTACTTGAAAATAGTTAATGCATATATTTTTGAAACTATACATCTGCATACTAACACGTGAGGCAACAAAAAGGAATATACCCACAAATTTGAACAGGCAATGTGACACTTGCTTAAGTTTCGCTTTTTCGAAACCACTGTCCGAAAGTTTTACATTGAAACAGTAGCCTTTACAGCATCCATAACTGTCGTCCTTCTCCCATGAAACTTCCTACCGGCCCTTGATTAGGCCGTGTACTTGGCCCCCTTTTCTCTATAAAGATATTTACTGCCTTGACTCTCACTTCTGCCCAGGGGCCTCCCACCTTCTCCATACTCCTCTTCTCTCATATCTTCCTTCACTCATCCCCCCACCCTGCACCCGAGGTCCCCAACCAGCATGGTTAAGATAACTGCAGACACAAGAGTGTGGGTGGTATAGCCAGAGCTGTGTGTGTGTTTCTATGTGTGTTTGATCTTCATGTTGTGTTTAGATGTTTGAGGGGATATCCTATCACCTCCAGTATTTGGTGCGGTCAGCCCTTGCGGTGTGTGGCAGGAGAGGGAGATGAAAGGAGGGACAGGGAGAGTCCTGTTTGTGTTTTTATCACTGGTGTATTTGCTCTCCTCTGTCCTCCGAGGGATTGACTAAAGGAAACAATATTGGCAAGATTGTTTTTAGGTCGCAAAGGGCCTCTGAGACCAACTGCACACTTTGCTTTTTGCCGGGAATAGTGTTGTGACTGCACTGGCTGGAGGCATAGCTGTGTGTGACTGCAATGGTATTGCAGCTCACCTTTTGCTCTGGCTCTTAAACATTTTAGATAAACTAACAGACCAAAGGGAAATCAGGAATGACGTGATGTCAGTTTTACCTTGAATACATGTGCTAAATTAGCAGAATGCAATCAGTCAGCATTTGGGAACATCATGTCTTTGTTTGACATTGCAAGAAATGAACATCTCTCACCATGAAAACACTTTTGTTTATTCGGAATTACATGCCATATTTAACGGGCTGATTATTTCATTTCACATGCTGTGCCCATGTGCAGATCAGTAATGCAAAACAGCCAGACCTGTCTGAAGGATAAAACAAGTGGCTGGGTCGTTTTTATCCAAGAACATTAAGGGATACCTAAGAATACTTAACTCCAATTACGTGAATGAACACAGTTTTGCAGACAGCGTCACTGGTAGTAAAAGCTGTAATTTGGATTAGTGTCATGATAACGTTCGTTCCTTTTTGTCACTTTACAAAGTTGTCTATATATGCAGGGTTGTAGAACACAATGAAAAGCTATATAAATGCTTTGTCTTATTTCGTAAATTCCTAAAATCCCTTTGGTTCCCAGAATTCTCTTTTATGGAGATGTACTGGCTGTTCTATAGGATAACAATGTATTAGTTTGACCTGAGTTTACCCAGTTTTCTACTTGTACTAATCATGTATTTGGCTCTGACATGGTAAAAATCCCTGTAGAGCTTATATTGGGTTTCTAGATATATGCAGTGTTGTTTTCTAGATATAGCTTTTCTATTTTTTAAGAACACTGCTGGATCTGTCACCACCTAGTCAACTCTTAAATGACCCATGAATCAGCTGAGATATTTTATTTTTATCGCCAGAGAGAAAAAATGACAGCCCTGATCATGCCGGATTGTGAACTGGCGTATTTCAAGTTCTTTACTATTTCCTGCAGACTAGATGTACACTTCTTGTACAAACATGATGTATCGTGCAGCCGCTTGCAAGGTGTTGTTACCCATTTCCGATAGGTTTACCATTTCTTCCGCTTCTGTTAGCAGGTGCTATAAATTCAAACGCAAGCAGCTGATGTACACTGACACCATACACTGGATTTAACTATTACTTAATGTTTAATGAAGGGATCCTTGAGTTGAAGCGAATGCAACCTCATTACTGACACCTATGTTGCTGAACAGACTTCATGAATGCCAGGCACAGAGTCTTTCCCATTAGGAATCCATCAGGACACAACGTGCAAAAGCATCATTTCATAACTCAAAATATTGACAGGGTCAACTAAAATTGAGAATGTAGTCTTTTTGCTCTCTGGAAGTGCTGTAGTTCACCACGGAGCCCTGTCTAATCTGTGATCCATTTGGTTTGGCCCAGTTTCTCTTCACTTGTTCATTTCAGCCTCGTCTAGCCAGGATTTGGTTTGGCTCATCAAGTGTAACTCCAACCTTCCCCAGCACACAAGCATATCACATAATTTCACTTCTCCCTTCCTCATCCTCCACTTACCTTTATCGTCTCTTACACCCTCATAAATGCACAGGTAGTCCATTGTAGACATACACAGAGAACTAAAGTACCATACAATGTTGTCAGACTGTTCATTGACTCTTTATGGTTTAGTCAGTGCCAAGTGCAGGAAATCATTTAACCATGTCCTACCTACAGCACGTGTAACCCCTAAATCTATGTCTGTATCTGTTGTGTTTACTAGAACTATTCCAAGCCGATGTGGATGAGTTCTGCCAATACTATGGGAGGAGAGATGCCAGTTTATGCTTTCCAGATTTTCAACGAAAGCAACCACATGGGCAAGATTCCAACTACTTGGGAGATGAGAAAATAGAAGATATCAGCAGGTTTGTAGCCTGACTTTTACTATGTTTATTTTCATTTGAGGACTTAGTTACACTGGGAAAGATGTGCAGAGTATTATTTTAAATAAGCTGTGACTAGTTCATGTGTTTCAACCAAGTGAACTTTACATGTTTCGTCAGTACCTATGAGTTCAGATTCAAGATGTTTAGACATGATATTTATGTTATTATAGAAACAGGCGTAGCCTCTGTAACAGGTTCAGGGTTCACTGGTCCATTTTGACATACTCCATACTTTCAGACAGACATGCTATGCAATTTCTCCTCTAATCCCAAAGTTTGTCCAGACTGCTTTTGCTCTGCTTTGCTAACATAATGAAAATGCTTATCCTGCGTCATTCTGTTTGCCTCCCTCACTGCAAAGGTCTGTACATCACAGAGGGCTTTGCCCTTTTGTCCATGGGGGGATTCCTTTCATCTCTGTTTTCCCTGAGGCTGGAAAGCCAGGAAGCATGTGCACCTGAATAGCAGCAACCAACATTCAGTCAAATAACTTCCGACAGTTAGAGAGTCAGGGCTTATTTATTGCTTCAGTGTCTTATTCTCTGAGAAATTTACTGACATAAATGACATTGAGAAGAAGTCTGTTACGTTTAAGGCTGGGAGAAAGTGTAAAAAAAAAGTCAACGTTAATGGCTAAGATTACAGGCTTTGTTTTTAGGAATTAAGGCATAGGACCCATGTGTACCTCGTGCAATGCACAGAGGGAGAGATTGTAGACCTTTTCTGGTGGTATGTACTACTCACACTAGAAGTACATATAAAATGGGACAGGACAAGAAAGAATTCAGCATATGTAGTATTGTTGGATGTGTCACATGGTTATGGACTGGTATCACTTGTGGCCAATAATCTTCTCCTCATATTGCCCCTAAAATCAGTGCCCAAAGTGCACCCAAGTGGTCATGTTCACAGATGAGATAGTCCTAGGGGTTCTTGACCTTGTCTCTATTGGATGGTCACATACCTGCATAGTGAAAGACAGGTGTAGAAGGGTTGGTTTGAACGTCCTGTCTCTTCTTTTGCCAGATCTTCTAAAAAGACAAAGTTGATGCACACAGTTTTGTCCAGATAAGTGAATTTAAAGAGGAGAAAGAAGTTTTAGTTGACTTTGACTTGCTGACTTTCACAACCATTGTAGAAAGTCATTGCAGAAATCTCTGTCACAAGCAGTAAAATAGGTCCACAAGAAATACTGAATTTTAAATGTTTAGTTTGCAGCTGTCTCTTGTGTGTGAGGACCGTACTCAGGTTTCTCACTCCAATTAGAGACTGCTGATTAAAAACAACGTACCCGGTGCCCTCAGATGGCTGCAGAGGGAGTTTATCAACATTAAGCCTTAATACAACACATTTACACATACATACAATGGGATGCATTGGTAGGTATGTATAAGACATGCAAAATCCTCAAACATTTAATTGTTAGTGGCTTTATCAAAATAGAGTCTTCCACATTGATAAATGGCAAGTCACAAAATGAGTTAATCAGCAAGGATGAAAAAACCTTACTTCGTATTAGGTAAAAGCAAAATCTGATTTACTGTTTCAAAACAGTAGCATGTGATTGAAGAAATGCAACAGCTTGTCTTGCAAGTTGAGGCAAATTTCAAGTTCTGTCCACCCAAGACTAAGACAAGCTAAATGACAGGTGTTTATATTTTTGTTCATTGTACATGTCATAAGAAGTTTAGGTTTAACAAATATCTTACTGCTGATTGTGTAATGCTTCCTTTAAAACTCTACTACCTGAAAGTCTCCCATGCCCCTTCTACCCTATAGCTCGATTCTTTACCATTATTCTCTGACATTTTGTATCTTCCCTGTTACCCAGGAAACACAAACACAACTGCTACTGTGCCCAAGAGGTGTTGAGTGGTCTAAGGCAGCCGGTGGCTGTGGTGCACTGTGGTGATGGTTCCCAGCGGCTCTTTGTCCTGGAGAGGGAGGGAATTGTCAGGATACTCAACCATGACCTTGAGCTAATCAAGGAGCCCTTCTTGGACATCCACAAGCTGGTGCAGAGCGGCCTGAAGGTAGGAATAAGTCCGCCTTCATATTGTTACCTGTTCCGAAGGAATTGCTAAAGTAGCATCGTAATGTGGATGTAATTTGATCACAGATGTAAACAAGCAAGAGAAAAGGAAAGGATCTTGGCTGATGCAGTATGAAATAGTTTTTTGCTACATTTGTAGAGGAAGAAGTAATGTGACAGAGTCTTAATACAAGTCTTTACAACACAAATGTTTGCACTTATGTAAACGTGTTAGGAATGTTTCCAGCCAAGATAAATCCCTTGAAAGTGGTGCCTGCTCACTTTTAGTATTCAGTTATATAATTAGACTAAATAAGCAGTCATTCATCAAATGTGATCGTGCATTACGCTATTATTTGCGAATTAACTGTACATACTGCACACATTGTGCAAACTGCTAATTTTCTGCTACTGCTCACATGAATGCTTAATGACGGTCTTAATCTTTCCCATATTGTTCCTGTCATGGCTCGGATATCATAGTGACATACCCCACATGATAACTGCAATACCAGTCTCTCAGGTTAAAATTCTAAGCTTGTCCATACTCTTAATTGTCCTGTGTAGAGGCATTTTTATAAGATGTCTGTGATATCTTTTTGCTAATTTACTGTAGTTATGATGGGTTAACAATACATACAGAGTGCAGAGCTGAGTACAAGTTGAGCAGAGTTGGATATGTATGTTTTCTGACAGGAGTTAGCACTTTAACCTGTCTGCCTCCCAACACACCATTGTGACAATCTGTTTGCCAGAAGAGGGAGCTTGATAGGATATTGGGGTGCCAGAGGGCAAGTAAACATGTGTTCTACTTCTGTTTGGCTCAGGACCCTGTCTGAGAAAAATAAATACAGGCAAAATAGTAACAAAGAAATAAAGGTGCACATGAATAACCTTCTGTCATTTATATCTTTTGAATGTGATCCAGATTTTTGGTAACTGTTGCATCTGTTGTGTCGTCAAGAAGATGTATTCCCAAAAAATGTGTGTAGTAGTAAGGTGCTAGATCTTGAAAAATCTCTTTTCTGTATGGATATTGCAGGTGCATCGACAATTTAATCATCACAGTAACATCTTTAGACTTAACTTTCATCCCTAATCCTTAGAGGATCTCAGATTTTGAATTTAAAAGTTAAAAACTGTTTAGATTCCATGAGGAGCTGGCGTAGCTGGGATGTTTGGGGGCCACACTCCCAGACAGGAAGTTTATCTATCACGCATGCCTCTTGCTCCTCCACTGACAAGACCCTTTGCTTACAAGGAGTCAAACGGAGCACAGCATTTGAATGTGCAACTACCCCCGGCGGGATGCTCTCCCTGCTCTTCTCAGCTCTCTTATCGTAATTCAATCCAAAACTGGTTGTGGATAAAGTGACCATTATGACAATTAGATGTGGCTCAATCCCCTGCAGGCCCCAGGAGTCCTATTCTGTGATGTTGGCTGCCGGAACGGGCTCCCAGCCACACGGGGTGGACAGAACCAGGGGAGGGCTAAGGTGTTTACTGGCAGCATCAACAGGATGGAGCTGTCCTTTATACAGAGAGAGGAACCCATGCACCCAGGAGACAGGGCAGATAATGGGTTTATCATCAACCCCATGCACATGCTTTGATTGTAATGTTCTGTGTTTCCTCTCACTCTTCTCTCCCCCTCCTTTCATGGATCCCCTCGGTGCCAATTAAGGCGAACTGCACAGAAACAATACTGTGCTGTGGTAATGTGGCTTCCTACCTGCGCTGTGGGTGTTCTCCTGAAATTCAATCTCTATACTCCAGCTCACCCCCACTCTAGCCACACTAGCCACACAACCCATGCCACCAGAGCGGTCAAATTTAGTAAATATAGCCAATTTTGACTGTTCTTGCGAGAGTCTGAGCAAAACTGAACATTTAAGCATTAAAACATTGAATAGAGTAACAATCTTATAAGCAATGTATTTGTTTTGTATATAAATACATACCAAAAACATTAATGTCAAGATGTCATCTACTGAGCGTTTCAGTTCTGATTTCCCATTTGTTTTTGTTTTTTTTAAGTATTGTTCACAGATTTCCAGGTTTATTTTCACATACTTCACAAAAGAGGTCTGGAAGCACTTCTGCCAGTCAGTCTGCTTGATTATAGAAGATGTGTATCACAGTTGATTACACCTTAAAGTCATGCAGCTTGGTCACCAATCTATTCATGTTCCTCTTCGGTTCCATTCAATGTGCAACTGAGTAAGAATGTATTTATGACTATTAAATTGTGAGTTATGCTCATATTTTACAGATATCTCATGAGGTCTGAGGACACTAGAGTATGTCGCTCATTCTGTTTGCTGGTACCACACACACAGGCGTGATCTGGGTTGTGCACAACCGCATCTTCACATGTTTTGCTGGAGAGAAATGCTTCCAGCATACATTGTTTACATAAAGCTTCATAAAGATGTAACTGACAGATGTTTGAACAGAATTAGACATGACAACAACTACGAATACCCTTGAACTTCTTTGGAGTCGCTCTCAAGGAAACGATTTTACGATGCAACTAAAAGCAACACTCTTTGATATACGTGTAAATCTTCTCTGCATTCTGTGCTGTCTAGTGGTTTTGGTTGACTTTGATGCTGAGCTTTAGCTTAAAACCATGACAGCATCCTACACTGTAGAACCTCCAGAGACGATGCTTGAGAGTTGCATGTGTGATAGTGACAGTGAATTTATAAATGAAGACATCTTTGAGCAGCACCCCAGAGCTGACAGTCTACTCACATGAATTAGCCTTTGTAACAGGGGTGAGTGGGCCTACTATAAAATATTTCGCTGTTCAAACAAAATAAGTCAGAGAATGTTGTTCTTTCTGTCCCTGCTGTCAGAAGCTCAGAGCTGCCAGAGTAAAATGTGGCCTTACTCATCTTCACTATTTACTCTGTCTAGAAGCAGGGGTGGCGTCAGACTCATGTTGATCTCACTAGACAGCGAAACCTGCTAGTGAAAGCTGAAGTGCTTATATAAATGTAGCAGGCAGAAAAATCAGCTTTCTATTAACTTTATGACTTGAATGATGGATTATATCTTGTTCTTGGTTGGTGGGAGGATTCATGCATTGCTGAGTTCTGGTCCAAGGGTTTAACTATCAACAGGTGAAGGGGCTGCAGTGGAGGTTTGACTGTGTGATTCTTATTGCACAAGAAAAAGGCAGAGTGTTACTACACAGGAAACGAGTGTGTTGGCTGTGTATGAGGGAGGTGTGAGCATACATGCTTCAGGTAGTCTTTGAGTGAAGGACGTAGACATTGTTTTTCTTTAGTCAACTCATGTGGAATGTTTTTTGGTGGAGGAATGTCCACGAGCCAGTGAAGAAGGATCAGAAGGTTCAGGGTAACAATGCATGACCCAACACGTGTCACTAGCGCTCAAAGACAGCTGCCCCTGCAGAATTAGAAATCGTAGTGTTATGTGTGTCACTGTGTCCGCCATTCAGGCAGGGTCAGCATTCCGTGAAATGTACCGTGAGATGTGAGATAACAACCGCTCCTCATCCCTGCACCTCACGTTCCCAGCTTTCTGTGGAATGATGCCAGAAGTTTGACAGAGCCAAAGCCGGAGCCCCAGAGAACTGATTTGGAGGGAAAAGAGGAATGCAGAGGCAGGTGTTTGTGAAAAATGAAGAGATAATACCTCGTGAGAGATTCAATCAGAACCCCCTGCCTGTCTGTGGAAGAATGATGGCAGTCGTGAAAAGACAAAGATGTTCGGGGGAAAAATGTGTTTTAAGTCGGCGCAGCAGTCATTTGTATAGTTTGATAGCGGTTTGGAGATGGCAGGCATTTACATTATATCAGCCTGCTATAAACATCTGTTGTGAAGACATTAAGTGACCGTAAGAAAGAGGATGCTTCAAGTTGTAGCTACAACATTTATGATAAGAGAATTTTGCAGCTTATGTTGTGTGACATAAAATGACACAAATATGTAGCATAATCACCATGCTCAACAGCATACATGGATATAGTTGGTTTAATGTACTATGATGCAAGGCAGAACAAAACTCCTAAATCATAGTGCAGCCTTTAAATCCACAATCGAGAACTTGAAACCTCTGAAAATGCACTTTGCTGCTGACAATATGTGAAACCTGCAGTTTGTACATTTTCTAAATTAGTTTGTTTATTCAGTGTATTAGTTTTTGAGCCGTGCCAAGAATATCTTACCTACTTCTGCTTTGGCAGCAGTTTTAACATGATCAACGCTTAGGGGCCTAAGGTTGGCACTTTGTCTTCTTTTAATCAAGCTATCTCCTTGGATTGGCTCTGCAGTAAAAGGCTCACTGATGCAGTGTTTGTTTCTTATGGCTCTGGTGCCAGCTCTGCTGTTCGCCTGCTGCTGAAGGAGCTAGTCATTAGCAAGGGAGCTAATATTTCAGGCCATTTAACCACTGTGTATCTTGGTGGTCCCCCTTTGGCTCCGGATCTAGGCCTCTTTGGAATCATGGTCTTTGACCTACTCCCTATGGTGAGTTTATTTTGGGGATATGGGTCACTGCATCTCCAAATCCAACATATGGATCCAGCATTTCAAGGTGAGGTTGAAAATTTCTCTTCCCAAGATGAAACTTTTTGACATTCTTTGGCAAAGGCCAGTCACCTCTGCTCCAGCTAACATCCCGCTGTACAGGGTGCTGCATCCACTCCCACATAACTCTGTTTTTATTTGACTTCAATGATCTGACATTTAGTAGTACTCATAAATTTTTGCAGAGGAACTCTGCCTTTTGGGGTGGAGATTTATTTGTCAACTTTCACAATATTTCACTTTATACTCAAATTGATAGACCCCCTGTGGCTTGTCACATGGGTCTCTGTTGTTGCTCATTGGTACTTAGAGTACATTCCTTTGCAAAGAGTCATCATTTTTACATTCGCATGTGGCCTGTGTCACTGCTGTGTTTGACTGGGCTGGGCCTAATGCAGTCCAAACAGAACTAGGAGATCCAGTACACCAATTTATGATGTGTGTTTCTTGGCCTGTGATATAGACTACACCTATCCAGAGCTTGCCACTGTAGTGCAGACCAAGATATATATATATTTTTTATTTTATTTTTTTTACATTTTTATATTCTTTACTATTTTGAAAGGGAATACCTGAAGGATGAGACAGCTGTGCCAGTGCCTGTGTGTTAATTGCAGACAAAATGTGTAAAACTTTTTTTTTTTTTGTAAGTTGCTTCGTGTAAGTAGAAGAATCAAGCTGATACACTCACACAGGGACCACATTATAAACATTCTTTACACCTAAGCTTAGAATTCTGTTCATTCTTTTGTCAAGAAGAAATAGTGAGGGAGAGTACAACATAAAAAAGGGCAGACCTGGCTTGCCTTGCCTGGGGAATGAAATGCTATAGCTGATTATTACAGCTAACTATGATGGGAGGACCACCAGGGTAGTGACAACTGATGTAGCTGCCTCCGGGGTGAGACAAAGGTTTACATATTACACAAGCAATTTAGATGTTTTCTAAACATGTTGCCAAGACAGTGGGAGTTGGCAGCTCCTTCCTTGTTTAGGTTTTCTTTTTTCCTCTTTTACTCTACTCTATCCTCCCTCCCTCCTCCCATCCAAGCCTCAAATTTTGCATGGATTTTGTGTAAATCAGGAAAGAGCGAGGGGACGGGGAGCAAAAAGCACGGACTGAAGCACTCTGCACTTTTGTGCTCTCTATGAACTGTGAGTGAGCTAATAAATTCTTTCAGCCACTCAGCGTAGCATTCACGGATATCCCCCAAAGATTACACACACAAATCACTGCACAATGGAGGCCACCGGGAGGGTCTGGGCGTCACAGGGGCCCCCGACCCTGAGGACAAGCGCACATAACCAGGCTGCAGAGAAGACTCTGCAAAGGCGGGGGGTTGTAGAAAAGGTGCAGCTCTACCCAGAGTCAAATGCTTTATAATGGTTGGTAATGGTATATTCAGGAAGGTTGGTGAAGGTGTGAAGTGAAACAGCAGAGGGTAGGAAAGGAGAGAATGAGAGAATAGCAGGGGTGTGAAAGGGAATGTGATGGACAAATAAAAAAAAGAGGATTAGAGAAGTTGAAGAATTAAAGGAGGGAAGGGGGTGAGGGGTGTAGGGGTTGCATGTTGGTGATGATGAAAATGACAGAGGGGGGTGATTCCAACCCCACACAGCCGAGCAGAAGCCAAGGAGGGACATAATTAACTCCTGGATCTTTTGTGTTTCTCATCTGACTGCAGGGTGGAGATGAAAGGGGCCTGCTAAGCCTGGCATTCCACCCCAATTACAAGAAGAATGGCAAGCTCTACGTCTCCTACACCACCAACCAAGAGCGCTGGGCCATCGGACCGCACGACCACATTCTCCGTGTGGTTGAATACACCGTTTCGAGGTAATGGAAGAAGTGTGTGCCAAATCCACCTTAAATGTGGGTTGTTCATCACTACCTGAAAGGACAACAAAATGTCAGCTGGCTCACAGTCTACACATTAATGGTTTTGGATTAATATAGACTGGACATGCATTTGTTCAGGCTCATCCTGGTTATTTAATCAAAACATTTTTAAGGAACCTTTAGTACATAAATACACAGCAGATTTCAATTTCGGCCAGTTGTTATTTGCAATGATGTGTTAAAGTAAGTGAAATTTCCCACATGCTCTCATTCATGTATTTAGTGCTGAAAAATCTAAATGATATAAAAAATAGACAAAACTGAAACAGTCTGATAACAGAATTCTGGATCTATTAATCATGTCACTGCCAGTTAAAATATACTAAACACAGATTTCTACCAGAAACCATAGTAGTTTCAAGGGCACACAGAGAAAATTACCAAAGATTCAATGAAAAGAAATAAATAAAATAACCAGGGATGGGACGTGACGGTATTGCAGCAGTTGCAGTGCATATCCAACCCATGAACACTCAGTGTGTACTCAGACCACAACCATCTTCTTTTGCCATCATTTTGATCTCAGCCTCACACCTGTAAAGTTTCATAACTGCATCTTGCACAGCTGTGATGCTATCGCATTAATATTAATGACTTTATTTGGACAGCACAGTGGAGAATCTGTCCACAGACAACAGACAGACATATGAACACCTGCCAGTACTATGCAAGTACTCAAAACCACCTTTGTGGTTGTTCTCGCTACTGTAGGTGTCTCCACGACAATATTTTGCAATGATGACACACATGCAAACACAGACAGACTCACAAGGTGAAAACAGTACCAGCCATGCTATTGCGGCTGTTAACAAGAATTTTTGTCTTATGGGGATTTAGAATGTAGGTCAGATCTCTTAGAAGTGTTTTGCTGAATGTGTGCAACACTCCTATGATAGCAGTGCTTTGCCTTTTCCTATGTTGTAGCTTCGCAATGGCCTGTGATTAAGAAAACAATCTTTTCTCACGAATGCATTTAAGTGTTGCATTTTAATTTACATAATCACAGTTGTATGTTTGACTTAATTATCTAATCTCAATTATAGTTATGGCATGCAGTTGCAGTGACTGTAGTGTATAGTCCTTAATTTAAGGGTCCAATAGAGAAATGACAGTTAAGGAATTTGATGGTGGTTATTTTTTACCTTTGGCAAGCTGCTTTTTAAAAAAATTGCAGGACTACCCAAAATAACTCATCATGCCATATTTGTTGCTGATACTGTGAAACCAAATTCTCACTTTTCACTAGAAATGGCGCAACATTTTAAAATCTGTTACATCTCCACCCACTGTCTTTGCCATGAGACAATACATTAGATTTAGACTTAATGTCTCCAGACAACAAAGTCGTTTGCATTATTTAATTTTAGATTAAGGGGGTATGTCATGTCAGCATTTCTTATCCATGCCTTGTTCTCATTTAGCCCACCAACACAATTACTTTTTGAAGTCATTTAAGACAATCTGAGTGTGTACTGACACTTTATGTGGCCTGACACAAACATCGTATTTCATTTCATATCTATATTTTAAGCCAGTCAAAATACAATTTTGCGCCAACTGTGCAAAAGCCATTTAAGAAAACCACATATGTGATGCTACAGATAATCCTCATAGAGAGATATTAGATACTTTGCAGGTTGGCCACCACACTTTTTGCACCATTATGACAGAAAACCCAATGTCAATGTTTTTTTTCTGTTTTTATTAGGAAAAATCCAAACCAGGTGGACACCAGGACAGTGCGGGTGCTAATGGAAGTGGCAGAGCTACACAGGAAACACCTAGGGGGTCAACTTCTTTTCAGCCCTGATGGTCTGCTGCACATCATTCTTGGAGATGGCATGATCACTCTGGATGATATGGAGGAAATGGATGGACTCAGGTGAGATCAAAGGTCAAAAGATCATTTTATACAAGGTTGCATACTGCTGTGTGCCCCAAGATTGAATCGTTTCCTAGCTCCTACAATCGTGAAGATGTTCTTTTGTTTGTGTTTTTGAATGCAGTGATTTCACAGGGTCCGTGTTAAGGGTAGATGTGGACACAGACTGTTGTACGTCAGCCTATTCCATACCGCGCAACAATCCCTACTTCAACAGCACCAACCAGCCACCTGAAATCTTTGCCCATGGATTACATGACCCAGGCAGGTAAGTGAAACACTTGATGGGACAACTAATGCGTTTTTGTTTTAAAATGCATAACTTTTGTTATGTATACGACTACCATTTACACTGCTTTTAGGGCTTTGGACAATATTTTAATTTGAAAACTCCAGGATTAAGCTTTAGTTGGAATGGGGCAAAGATTGAGACCTTCACGTTTGCTGTGTCCTTCCCTGATTCATCACACCCATATCACAAATTTGCTGTTTGTTTTCTGCCTTCACGAACACGTCATATTCACGTGTTGCACTAACAGTTCCACCTCGTTGTCGGCCTAAGCAAAGAAATCTCTCATCTTATGGAATAGAGTTCTACTATTCAAAAGGTGGCTGCTGTGACTGATTATTTACCTTTTTTGTGTCATAAAATGTCAGTCACTGTTGCAGTTATACTCATATAGACAGTCTTATTACTTGTAGATGGTTGGTGGGCGGCTGTGGCTCAGGTAGTAGAGCAAATTGTCCTCCAATCGCAAGGTTGGCAGTTCGATCCCCCGCCCCTCCACAGTCGAAGTGTCCTTGGGCAAGACATTGAACCCAAAGTTCCCAATGGCAGGCAGCACCTCGCATGGCAGCTCTGTCACCATTGGTGTATGAATAGGTGTGTGAATGGGTGAATGAGAAACACATTGTAAAGCGCTTTGGATAAAAGCGCTATATAAGTGCAGACCATTTACCATTTTACAGCATTGTTTGCAGTTCTATTACATGTAGTCCTGGCAGGGTGACCTGATAGTCATGAGGTTAGGGTGCACACCACATGGGCACAAAGGCTCTCAGCACTGAGTGATTCCTTGCCGGCTGGACTTTCACTGCATGTCATTCCCCTGTTCTTCCCCACATTTCTTGTCTTGCTCTACTGTCACTGTGTCATAAAAAAGGAGGAAAAATGTCATTTTTTTTAATATTCCCTCCTGGCATCTTGTAATCTGTAGGTGTGCAGTGGATCGACTTCAGACAGACAATGGCAGTCTCCTAATCCTCTGTACAGATGCCAGTGGCAAAAACACATCAGCAGGAAGAATACTGGAAATTACTAAGGGGAAGGATTACGGTGAGTTACGATTTCCATGAGATTTTCCAAAAATGTTCATAATATTTACGTTTTTCATTTTTGGAAGGAGTTCATTATTTTGCAATGTTAATATAGCCCATGATAACAATAATTGAGTGAAACCTTTGCCCAAGTTTTGTTTGATGGCCTTATGTCTTGAGAAAGAAAGGAAAAAACATTAACCTCTTGGATAACCTTTCATATTTATTCTTCTGAAAATGACATCTGTTTTTATGAATGTCTTTCATTTTGTAAGAACACAATGTTTTGGCAACAAATTCAGAAACACGCCAGGTTGAGTGCAGAGACAGTGAAGGTTAAATGTAAAAATGATGTGATCCAGAAATATTCCTCTCTTGTGGAGAGTAGATTTGCCAAGGGAATGTGAGATTGTGTCCACAAGTAAGATTTAAAGCTGTCAACAACAATAACTGTCTAGATGATGGTTTAGCATTGTTGAAAACACAGCTGAGAGGGGTCTACTTCTTCTCACATTGAGAAAGTAATGAATAACAGCACTGCCTTTACAATGCTTAGCCTATTTCTCTTCACAAAAAAAGAAATTACTGCTGTTTGTTCCAAATTACAACAAGCAGGTTATCTTTGACACAATGACTGATGTTTTGCCAACCTAAATTAATCCTTCAACAAGGATTTCTCACTACAATTCACTCAGTCACTCAGACCACCTGTGAAGAGAATGCTGTTGGGAATTGAACACACCACGTCTTGGTTTATATATTTTTAAGTGGAGCAAACTCCATTCATATTTCCTATTGCCAAGACAACTGTAATCCAGAGAACACGGCATAGTGCCTTAACTGTTTTCAATAAAAGATTAATACATTCTTTATATAAACACATATTAAAACTAAGCTGGCTGCCAAGGAAGAAGTCTCAAATCATATTGTTGTCCCATTTGCCAAGATTCATCCTTTAGTCTTTTTTTCTTGTCAGTGTCTCTAATATGAACAACAAAGCAATTATGTCTAAGTGAAGTAAGCATAGTTTTTGTTTTTGATGCCAAAACAAACAAAGCACCATTTGTTGCATGAATAAATCATAATTACAATCTGTGCGATGTGTTTTATCTGGAGTGAGATGGAACTGATTGTCTGTTTGATAAAACTTTCCACTATTCATGCATGCATACAACATGAGATACTGTTGCAGATGAATGACAGGCAGTCGGTCTTTCAGCAGTGCCTAAATCAGACCTACACTCCCCTGTCTCTCTGCAGAAAATGAGCCCTCTGTCTATGACCTGCAGTCCAGTGGAGGAGCACCACCTGTGGGGGGCTTCATCTACAGGGGCTGCCAGTCTAGAAGACTTTATGGCAGTTATGTGTTTGGAGATAAAAATGGGTAAGTACAATAAGGGACCCACTGGTTAATAGTCTAACAGGAACATTAAGTAGCTGTATGTTGCGAAATCTTGATTGAGTTTCTTCATACATAATGTTGGACAGCTGTCTTTTGAACACATTCTAGTAGCTCTAGCCTCTTGGCATTTTGTACAATCGATTTATGACTTAGTGAGAGCAGTGTGACTTATTTCTTTTCTCATACTAAGAAATCCGTCCCTTGCATCAACATGTGCCAATGTAAACACAAAGTTCCATCCACGTGGGGGGAAAACAAGTTTTATGTTACTGTCACCACTACAGCACGACCCATTGAGTGTAAATGGAGATTAGACATCCTGCCCTGGGCTGTTCACACTTTTCTTTGGTTTGTAATTCATCCTACTTTGCTGATGTCAAACACTGATGCTTGAGTAAACAAAGGAAGTAAATAGTGAGGGGAGGGGCACACTATCAGGAGTTGGCACTGTGTTTAAAACAATGTGTGGTCGGTTAATTCTGTGCCTCATTACAATTTGGGGGCATATTGTTGTGGCTAAGTGTAGGCTCCGGCATGATGTTTGTTTTGAAACTAAAAGCTGAGGTCTTAAGTAACACCATGTGCGACATGGGGTGGAAAAGGAAGATGGGTCAGTGAACCATAGGATGGAATGAGAAGTAAAAGTTGTCCTTGTTTCCAGATCTCAACTCTAGCTTGGCCAGCACTGCTACAGTTCAATTATGTTGTTTTTCTCACTAGCATAGCAATTTATAAATGTAAGAAATGTGCATGTCTTGTACAGAACGTTCTATACAGCATCAGTCTACAGTAACAATAGTGACCCACTATGTGTGTTCTTTTGCCTTAGTAACCTGCGGATCCTTCAGAAGTCTACATTTTCAACATCAGCAAGTGATGAACAGTGGCAAGAAAAATCTCTGTGTCTGGGCTCAGCTGGCTCCTGTGGCTCTGTGCTTGTTGGACACATCTTGGGTTTTGGAGAGGATGAACTGGGTTAGTAGAGCCAATAATAAGACAAATACACTGTTTATCTCTTCTCAGATGTTCAGTTCAGCTCTCTTTGTCCTTTCTATCTTCTTTGCTTTGTTCTTCCTCCCTATAGCCACATAAGTAACAGCTATATGTTAGCCTTTTTTCTGACGCCATTCATGACAGATGTCAAACCCATGGAAAAATCATTGCTTATAGAAATCTTGTTGTATGTTTGTCAGTGGTAAACGTATTTGCGTTATGGTATACAATGTTCCCGTGTGGAGTTGAACCAGATATTTGTAATGCTGTACTCTAACTGAGGGCGAACCATGAAAACACAGTTGAAAATCTGTGAAAATTACAACACCTTGCCAAAAGGAAGTGCCACTTTAAACTACACTGAAACTAATACCCGTCTTGCTCTACCTCTATTACACATTCCCAAAAGGGTATTAAACAGTGCGTACTTTCTTCTGGATTAATTTAAATTTCCATACGATAGCAATAATCCTCCAAAGACCCACTTGTTGTTTTGGGCCACCTACAAAGCAGTGTTTTGCATTGCTCATGAGATGTGTTACTGTTTATCTGGGGGGCTGCACCATGAAGGTAAAATTTGTAGGTTAGCTGAGGTGAACAGACTAATATGATGCAAGACATTTTTACCACTTGGACCCCCACCACACACCCACAGAATTATTAACTGTCAGCTCTGGTGTTTCTGATTAAAATGAACACATGATGTGAATCGCTCACACAGCCATCAGAAATGTTTGATCACAGTTATTGCCAGGTCTTGGAGTTATTATTTGACGAGGTATTTAAAGATTCCTGCATTTGATCATGATTTGCAAGCAGTGCAAGATTGTGGAGGGGGCGGGCGTATGTCCCAAAGAAGGGGCCCCACAGACACATGTTTACAATTTGTCCCCTTATGGAATTTTCTTGCAGGCTTGTTCCTCATTAAATTATCCGCCTGGTTCCCAGTCATGAGTATCCAATTGTCCCATTAAACTTTTTCTTATAGTCCTTTGGCAAGTGCAGCATTGCAGAAGCCTCAGTTATACTTATTCTCGTCATCCCCTCATGTCCTCTGCTTTCATCTTCTTGTGTCTGCTGGTCTTGTCTTGTCTTCTTTCTTTATTTTGGCACAAGGATTCAGCGGAATGCATTGATGGCAGAAGAATTAATTATTGGGTCATTCAAGCATGATGCACATTGAAAGTGTTTAATGTAAATAATGCTGGTGGCTCATTTCTATGTTGCTGTTCCTCTTTTGCAGGTGAAGTCTACATACTGGCAAGCAGTAAAAGCATGGCACAGTCACACAGCGGGAAACTCTACAAGCTAGTAGACCCCAAAAGGTAAAATCAAGAAGTACTTTTGTAGATTGTAATGGTATGTGGTTGGGTCTCTGTTCAGTGAGTGAACCCTCAGTGCTTCCTGGTACTACAGGTGGGGCAAAGCAGCCCACTGCCCATAATTTCATGCTGTCTTAGTTTTGTGATGAGACTTAGATGATCGTAGATACTGTATATCATACAAAGTTTGGCGCTTTACACTGCAGCTGACTCTCATGAAACAACGGATCTGTAGTTAATCACATTAAACAGCAGTGACGTCTTTTCTCGCTCATTTTCCTCCTCAGGTCTTGAGTGCTTACACGTATTGCTGTGACCAAAACAAATGCTGAGCAGTCACTGGAAAATAAGCATACTACTTCAAAATGTACCTGTAAAGAATAGCTAATAGTCACACTGATTAGCTGGCCTTGTTCACGTTCGTTACCATCGCCTGCTGGTTATTTGCAGTAAAGTTGAGAGCAGGGCTTTTTTTCTGGTGAGCGTAAGGAAAACACAAAGGCACCTGTTGTCAAGCAAAGACTTAGTCTATTTAGGCACATGTAGAGACACAGGCACAAGTCTATATGTATAATCTAGTGCACATTTTATTCGTCATTATTGGATGACGTTCAACAACAATTCAGCACACACACAAGTCGGCTTCAGTTTGAGTGGTAGAATACAGTCCATTTCTCTGCAGTCTAATGCTTAATTAGTTGATGTTAAACAACTGGAATGTGGAGGGAAAATGCGCGTGAGTGCAACATCAGAATTCAAATGTGTGTGCGTGTCACTGCCTCATAATCCTTACCATATGCATCTATATGCATCCCAGTATTAAAAATCAATCTGATAGTGATGGAAATATAAACTGTGTGTGGAAAACCAAGTACATGTGAAAAACATTTGTCACTCAGGATGAGAAAATATGCAGACAGACGGGATGTATAAGACGTTTTGTCTGATATATTACCTTGGCAGTGAAGAAATCACTTCAAAAATAAGCAGACATTGTAATTCAAACCAATTGCATATAAAGTTTCAAGGCAAACCCCCCCTCCGATGTTTCTGCCTGTCTTTTTATCAGCAGTTTAGCGGGGAGATGGGAGAAAGAAATCTTTTAGAGGTTTGGCTGATCTGGTTTAAGTCATTTCGTTGGTCATGTCAGCTTTAAATGTAATCCAAAGTCGCAAATGAATAATATTTCTTCGAGTCAAAGAAGCATAGCGAGTGAGAGAGGCAGATAATTTGATTGAGAGAGGCAGATAAAGTAAGAGAAGCACAGTCAGAGTAGGAGAATTTGCATGCCTCAGAATCAGAAAAGAAACATATCCACAGCTGATTATTCCTGGGTGACGACAGTGCCACCCAGGCATTAGCACAATTAATTACACCACAGATGTTTCAAAGGGGCCCTGGTGGCTTGCTTCATATTTATGTTTTCTGGCATGGCTGCTGGACGCATTTCTCCCAGAGAACAATTCTTTCCACCATCAACTGGACTTGTTTAGTCTGTGTGGACCCTGTGGTGTTGGAGTCCTGACTCCTAATACACTCTGGCTTCATTATTAGGATCTTGTTACAGGGAGGATGGAGAAGGGGTGACAGGGGGGAGTAAATGGGGTAGCTAACGTGTCTGACCTCAGCACGTTATCAAGTCTGGTGGTCCTCCCCTCTTTTCTCTTCCATACTGCAGGGACATCTGGACCCTAAAGCCCTTTCAGACAGAGGTTTGTTTTAGAGTATGGTGGTTTTTGTGGTTCAGTATAGCATCTAGCGCTGTGTTTTGATCAACTGTGTGTTTGGGAACATAGAGGGGGAAAAAGAGGAACTGTTAGGGAGAGCGGTAAAGGCTTACAAGGAAACATCAGCCATAAAATCCCTCAGCAGTGTTTGTGTAAACATGTCCTGGCCAGATGACTTCATTTCTAGGTATTTGTTTGTCAGTTGGAGTACCCCTCCAATAATAAATAGGCCACCATGCATTTTGAAACACGCTGAATGTGTGTGGTGTGAGTGAGGGTGTATTTGAGAGAAAGAAGTAACGCAAATGGGGGTTTGTTTGTGGTATAGCATTGGGATAGAAATATTTCCAATTATATAGTCTCTACATGGCAACTGTTAAATGTGGCTAAAAGCTCCAAATCATTAGTAAGTGGACCTTAGAGCTTAGATTCTCCTCAATGTATCATTCTCAAAGGTTAAGAATGTTTCATGCAGCACCTTTCAAACACAGGGAAAAACAAAACGCTTTACATAAGATGTAAAAAGATAAGAGGATAAAACATGCAACAAACACAACATAGAAAGAAATGATTTTTAAAAGGTGAAATATGCAATTCTGTAGTGTCTGCTTGACAGCAGTGTAATATTGAACCTTTCATATCTTGGTTGCTCTTCTTATTTTGCTTTTTGACAATTTTGCCTTTTATATGAGACTTAAACAAACAGCAGCTGAGCAAAGCAATAGCTCTCAAACATGCAATCAAAGTTTGATTGTGGCTTACTCTGCACATATACTCTAGGCAGTTACTTGTGGACACATTTGGCTTGTTTTTGGTCGCCTTGAGTGTGCATTTAATTACTTAATTATTCATACAGTGAGAGCCTTACATTTATGCAAGGAACAAACCTCTTTTTAAAAAAGGAATACTAACAAAGTTATTGCTATCCAGCACACATTTCAGCCGATCATTGTGTTTACAATGCATGTATGCCATGGGACTCATACAGCAAAATGCCATGTTTGTCATATCGTAATGTAATAGGCCCATGTTGCCCTCCAGCCTTGAAGCTGGATAGAATCTGCCTTGCTCTTGCAGTTGGTCCTTAGCACTAGCTTAATTAACATTAAGAGCCCGACCTCCTGCTGCTTTCTGGTGTAAAATGCAATTTGCCTTTCTGTTTGCTGCAGCACCTCAACATAGAGAGGGGAAAACAGTATTTAAAAGGAGTTTTCACACATTCAGGTTTTGTCAGCTGCAGGCTGGACTGATTGAAATACAGTGAGCAGACACTTTAAAAAGACACAGTGAACTTCAAATATGGTCCTGGGACCTCCTTTATGAACTGCATTAGCCATGGAAGTCACAAATCACTGGATGCGCAGGAGAAGGAGACTGTAGGGTGCTCGTTTGTGGATATATTTATCTGTGTGTGTGCTTCTCCCTGTGTTGTGTGTACAGATATAAACCGTGTGGGTGGTGGGTACACGCGCACATGCACATCTGTGAGCCTGTGTGAGCGTGTAGTACGCTAGCTCCCAGCGTGCTGCAGAAAAAAGCCTTTTCTTTATTTTCCTATCCCTCCTAAATCTTCCTACATCTCTGCTGTGGTCCTCCCCTTGACAAAGCTGCTTGCCAGTCCTACTGAATAGCCCTGGCTCCTACAATACACAGTAAATTTCTTGCACAATTAAAACAAGGAATGAAGCTACAAAAGGAGCCCCCAAACAATGGAGTCGGATGACAAAACAGCAAAAGAGACCACACTGGGCCGTTTGATTAAGCCATTGTTGGGGTGCACAATGTACACCACTCCACAGCCCTTTTCTCACATATACCTCATGTCAATCAAACAGGCCCTGTGAGCTAACAACCTAAACACACATAGATACTGACCAACATAATAACCAAACAGATCGGGAACAAATTTGAGGAAGAGCATCCACACTCCTCTGACAGAGGAGACTTGAATGGATGCCAGTGTTAAAATATGTTAATGTTTAGCTGATGTAAGGAAAGAAGGGAGGGCTATTCATGCCAGAATGCCTGTCTTAACCTGCATTAATCTTAAACCTTGTTTTCCATCTTATCTTTGCAGCGATCTCTCATCTTGTATGCTTAAATGCTGACTTTCCACTCAACTTAAATTTTAAAGACATGATCTGTGTTCTATGCAAGTCGTTGCAACTTAAGTCATTCTCATTATCTCTCTCTCTGTCCATCTATCTAGCTCATGTGTGAGCACTGTCGCCTTCTCCCACTCCTTCGCTCTCACACATACACCACCCCTCCCAAAGTTGATAAATTCCCACAGTGGCTGTTGACCCAGCTGCCTTTGTCAAGTGGCGCTACCAGCAGGTGCTGTTTTCACAGCCACCCTGGCAGTCGTACAGACTGTTTAGTAGCGCTGCTGACCCCTGCCTGCTATTAACAGTGTTAGCTACAGACCCCCCAATTCTCCAGGGACTCTTACTCTTTCTCTCTCTCCTTCTCTTTCTGTTTTCTTCCCTCCTTTGCTCTTTTTTAACTACATGCAGCCTGCAACAACAAAAGCCAGCAGGGATGGAGTCTGGAGTTGGGTGCTGATGGGAGCATGGGAATCACCCCCCCTACCCTCCATCCTTCAAATTTAAAGCAACTTTAACACACACACACACACACACACACACACACACACACACACACACACACACACACACACACACACAGTCACAGTATTGTCACTGCCATCGGTCAGTGTGTCTGTCAGCACATTCGCAGCACATTTGGAAGTAAACAGTCACAGTCAAATAAATACAATTAGTATCCTAAAAACACGTGCATAGGTACTTATCCACCTTGTTTTCAATAATAGTTGAAATACAAATCTGTCTTCACAGTCAAACCTGTACAGTAAGTGGAACAAATACATGCCTACTAAACTAGTCAAGGTCAGGACAGGTGATTTTCCCAAAGTTGGACATTAAGAACATCTAATAGTGAATTCACTGTAAAAACCAACTACTCAGATGGGTCTGAGTGCTGGTTGTAGGTCCTAAACTCCATCTAGTTTTGGCTTCTACTGCTGATTGACCATTTGCTCTCTTGACATGATTGATGAGGCCTGTTCTCGCATGGACCAAGCATTACATACACAGTCACCCACTCTGACCTCACTACTCATGCCTCTCAGCTCTCATACCAACATCAGCCCACGGGAGTCCAGTTACTCTGCCTGTGTGTCTGTATGTGTGCACGTGTTCTCATTGTCCCACAATGTCCAGTGTTTTTTTTAACCTCAGCACAACAGTGATGTTTACACATCTATATTTCTTCCTCGTAAACGCACACATTGACGTGTGTGTGTGTGGGCCAGTGGGCAACAGGCACTAACAGACGCTTCACATTTGAACTCGATTACGCACTCGCCGTATTATTTCCAGATTTGTAGAGCGTGATATGAAATAATTCTGTTTCAGCCCATTTGCTGATGTGCGTGTCTGGATGTTTGTCTTTATATGAAATGATCACAATATGTCTCTTTGGTGTTCAAACTTGACGCATATGGTGTGGAGATGTTTGTGTTTGTGTCTGTGTGCATTTTCCAGATCATGTTTATATCTGTGGGAGCCCTGTGTTAACCCTATGTGTTGTTTTGTTCTGCAAATAGGGAGAATGTAAGAGGTAAAACAATAAAAACACACTACTTCACACAGGTAGTGTCCTAACTGTACAATGTAGGTCCATCTTAGACAGTACATTCAAAATGAATTGCTATGAATTTACAGTATTCAGAAAAATCCACCAATACATGAATAACAACAGAAAATATCAGCATAGGGCTATAAATAATCTTTTAATTAGAGAGCTTAAAAGCCTACATTTTAATGTGCATCACTTCATAAGCGCTGTCCCACTTGGGTTACATATCAACAAAAGCTGATAGCCCTGAAAATCATCTTGAGATCACAGGCGCAACATGTGATGGCAGATTTGTTGGCCTTCTTTTTGTTTCATTAAAAAATAGCTTAACGGTAAGCAAATGCCTACAGCGATCACAATACATCAGGATGAAGTGTTAGATGTTTTAATACAACATATTTCCTACAGCACTATCACAAATCATGATGCAGAATTGCTGTGTAGCTCAGCCAATGAGGGTTGGATGACGCTTTTGTTTTTGTCTAGTCTAAGCTTTTTGTTTAACGGGACATTTTTAAAAAGTTACGAATGGATTTTGCACGAAACCTTGTGGAAACGGAAAGTGATCTGGCAAGTCAGAGCTGATGTGTGTTGGTGGGCGAGACTCAAACTTCTAAACAGACTCATGTAACACAGTGCTCCGAAAAGCAGACAAAAAGAAGGAAACCATCCATTACTTGCCCAATCAAACACCCTGTAGACACTAGAGAACTAATTTTTGGACCAGGTTTTGGACATAATACCAGTTTCTTCATTTAAGACAGCAGCTGAACACAGAACAGATGCAGTGCTGATTAGTGGGTAGAATTTAAACAACATATCGCACATTTCATGACACGCAATCCAAACATCGAATTACAGTATGACTACACATCTTTATATAACACTCTGTTTTCCATTGATAAATCAATATGGCCCTGTTTACATTTGTAATCATTTCCAATACGTGGTTACTATTCTACGTAAGCTCATCTGTTAAACTAGTTTGAAATGATGAGGTCATGATTTAGCCATGTGACCTTTGAGTCAGTGTTTTTCATTTTCTGCGTTCACTCACAACTGCTTAAGTAGAATGATAACGAATAGCTGTTAGTACATTTACAGAAGCTGGAAATTATTGCTAAAGTGACACGTTATACTCTTATAGGATTATAACCTTAACATGTTTTTGTCATGTTGGTACTGTTATGATATATTCCTACTATCTGTAGTGTTATCAATATTTAAAGTCCCTCTCTAATCATAGAATTAACACCTAAAAACGAATGTTTATGTGCCGATGTACAAAGTCCATAAAAATAGTCCCTTCCTACCTTAAACGACTTCGGTAGAACTCTAATTCTACACCTTCGCTTTCCCTATGGATTTACATTGTCCCTGCCCGTCTCTCCACACACCACTGCCCATTAACCACAGCTCGAGCACACCAGCTTATATATATAACTCTGCTCAAACACTGTAAAACTACTCTATGATACTCAATAACAAGTTGTAATATTGTAGCCGAAACTGATTCGGAAACAAAGATAGTGCAAGTTGACACGAATGGTTCATTGGGTTAGTTACGTATGAAACCCTGGAAGTCTGAATCTGTTTTTATGGGGAAGTGCTCAGCCACGGTGCTTTTTTCACTCATGATCTCTCTCCCAACATATAAAGAAATATATCGACGTTAATAAGATAAAAACAAACTTGATTTCCACGAGAGGGATGCGTTAAAATCATGGTAATAAAGCAGTCATACAGGGACTGAAAAGCAATATTGAAATCATATTCCTTGAATAGCTTTAGTTGTGTTTTTATTCACAAATAAGTTGCAGTTTTATTTTATCAGTGTGACTTTGTTGAAAGATATTAGGCAGGATTATATCAAACTGATGTGTGGCTCTGCTGTCTGTGATTCCCTACCAGGCCATGTGATGCTTCTGTCTCTCACATACTGACTTTCCCTCTCTGTTTTTACCAACTGTTGCAGGCCTCATGCCCCTAAGGAGTGCCAGCGTCAGGTGGAGCCGCCAGAGCTGCTGATGACAGCTTGTTCCAGACACTGTAAGAACGGACACTGCACTCCTACTGGCAAGTGCTGCTGCAGCCCCGGCTGGGAGGGACCCTTCTGCCGAGTTGGTAAGTGCGCATCTGCTGCCTTCTGAGCAGTATCATCTGGACCAACATCCATGTGTTGTTTCACTCCAGATGTGTAAATGAGGTTTGGTAATGCGCAACATGCACAGTAGGCCTGCCAACATTTTTTCTTATAAATCATTAAAAACCTGCCTGACGCTCTGTGACTTCAGTTCTGAATGAAACACCAGCTTGTGATACTTACTTTGTGTTTGATCAATGTGTTTTCGTCTCTTCCCTCCCTGTGACCGCAGCCAAATGCGAACCAGCCTGCCGCAACGGAGGAGTGTGCATGGAGCCTAACAAGTGCCTGTGTAAGAGCGGCTACTCTGGAGCCCAGTGTGAGAAGAGTGAGCGGGGTATGCCCAATGACCAGGAGAAAGACGGCATACTGGACCACATCATTGACATGACCTCGTACCTCTTAGACCTGACCAGCTACATCGTATAGGGGTGCGCAGAGGGGGGCTGCTCCCCACCGTCATCCTCAAGTTGACACAAATCTACCTATCACCACCAGCAGACCCTAACGAGGTGTCCTTAATATGGCCTCTTCATCTCCCTCACACCCACACAGGCATGCAAACACACACACACTCACACACACACTCACACATACACACACAGACACACTTTCAAATACACACAGGATCCCCGTCAGACTGCTTTTGATCCACATCACCATACCAAACTCTTCTTCTTCTCACCTATAAGCTACTTGCTCTTGAGCACCAGGCCTGGCATCCAAGCCGTGTTCACATTTCAAAGAGACCTGCAGACAGCAGTGAGTTGATTGACAAGCATGGCCAAGTTATGGAAGTTCCACTAAGACATTTCCTCTCCTGTTCAGAAAATGCCCGCGCACGGCTTGCTCCACAGGAACAGGAACTCCACAGGAACGGACTATTTAAATCCAGGACTTTGGATGTATTCAGGGGCTATCTGTTGCCTTACTAAACCACCCCACCCCCCCAAAAAAAATGGAGTTTGAGGCATTTCAGCGGAGATAGTTGGTTGTTCAGGAGTTCATTAAGGATTCAGAATTGAAATTGCGTGGCTCAAGATCCAATTTGTGCTCATGGTCCATTAAAAACACGGCAAAGTAAATGTCTTTACACACAGACTCTGAAGGAACACGAGTCACATAGAGCCTGCAGTGTTTTGTGCTGTACTATTCTAGAGGCACTAATACAAGAACAACCATGTCGTCTCATTTATGATGTTGTATTTAGTTTGTGGGCACATTGTCATAAAAAGCGATAACAGTATACAGTATGTATAGTTTGTTTTGCAACACTCGCTTGCTGTCAGTGTACAGAACGGATCTACAACAGAGGACTGTTAAACAGGAGGAGCAGCACCTGAGTGACAACATTGTATTTCATCACAGCCAGTTTCATGCAATCTGAATGGAGTTTTTGAACTGAGTTTTCCCATGCACTGTATTCATTTTTTGTTTCCTTCACGTTATTATTCACAACGAGTTTAGACATTTGTTAAAAGCGCAATGAGAGAAGTTTCACACTCACACAGACACGACACAATCACAGGTATGGTTTGGCAAACTCCTTTCATTGCGTCACACACTGAAACCCGAATTCAAACCTACAAAGGGAAGAGATAGCGCAGTGATGTATATTTCCAATAGAGCTTACTTAAGTACTGCTTAGCATTGCAAAAAAAACTATAGCATTACTATTGTTATCATAGAGGAGGGTTTATTTTTTTAAGCGTAATAATATATGGGAGAATATGGTGTTTATAGAAAGCAGTTTTACACTAAGCTTGTCGGTTCATGTCATTTCATGTTGTACTTATACATATGCAGCTTTTATGGAAGACACGTGAGGACATTTTTTTTCTTTTCTTTTTTTTCCCGATATAAAAGTAATGCATGTCTGTGCCTGCATAGAGTAATTCGGAGCAGTTGGCGGAGTCCATCTAACTCTTTCCCCTGACATATGGTTATATTACCACTGTCAGAAATGTGTCTCTGTTGTGAGATGATCAAAGATCCCGTCACTGTGGAAGCAGTTCACAGTCAGAGGCAGATCTTATCTGTGAAAAGCAGATTTAAGATTAACCTGAGGAGAGAAAAAACAAGTCAAGATTATATACTCTAATGAGCATCTGACTCCTCCACAGTTAGAAAACAGCTACACAGACAGTGATGGTCTGGAGCCACGTTGATGTGTTTGTCTTTTCAGATGCCAGACTCAAGTTCATACAGAAAATGCATTTACATGCCTTCTTTTCAGCCAGTAATTCATCTTATTAGGACTTCTACATTTAATCATTTGCCATTTCAAATCCCATAAATGAGAAGCACCAGTTGTTGTGTTGAACAGTTTTGAAGGCAAAGAGGTGTCATTTTACTTTCTCCCCTTTTATTTTGATAAACAAGTTTCAAATTTCATGGTTAATTGAAGTTCGGTGTCCGTAAATGATGTATTTGCTGGTCATCTCCCACTTCGCTTGTGTTTGCTGAAATAAATCAACTCTACCTGGTCTTCATAAATCAAAACGGAATTCATGCTGTAAAATGGAAAATTAAATTTTTTTTTAGCACTTAATGTGAAAGTTGCATTGTAGCTGCTGAGACGGCGTGGTGTGAATAGAATAACCATTTTCATTATTTAAGTAGTTACACAAATAAAATAATTATTTAAGTTCTTTATGTTGTTTTTACCATTGTACTGTATGTGACAATTTTTATTCCTGTATTGTAAATAAAACTAGGGATAACTTGTTTCTCTTCAGAAATATCAATATGTCTATTAAAATTTATAGCATGTCTGAAATACTTGTCTCTTGTTTGGAGTGTGCAGTGTCTTTTTGACAGTAATGACAGCTTTATGTTCATTTTTTGTCATTTTTGTGAAAGAAATATAATTTGATACTAATTACAACATCAAATCAAAACAATAACAGTCTAAACAGCTCAGTGTTGTACTAAGTATATATCAGTTCATAATACTGTCATAATAATTAACAGTACTTGAATTTTATCTTCATCATTTACAAAATGTTTCCATTAGGACGACATTAAATGTCATTTGCTGCTGCCTGCACTGGATTCAACGTCGAACATTTAATCCCACCCAGTATGAACTGGTAGATTTAAATGTCTCATTTTTGTGGGATTCAACTGTTCACAAAACATACAGAACACAATGTCACTCCTTATCTTCCACATAGACTGTATTTTGTCTTCTGTTATCATTTTTACTACTTTGTTTTCATCAAAACAGGAACGTGACTACTAATTACTTTTAATTTACTTTCCCTTCTGGGATGAATAAAGTATTTTTCATTCATTAGACTTTTGTTACAAATCTTGCAACATAATTGGAACTTAAAGTACATTTAGTCAAATTCTGTTCGTGATTACAAATTGGAGGGTTCTTGACATTTTGCATATCTATGTTTTGAACATTTGTGACAGGTTACAACTCAGGATATAGAGTAGTTAAAATGAGCTCAACCATAAACCATTACAGCAATAACAGGCAAGATATACAAGACGTAAATGCAGCAGTAATATCTAAAACATCACAGAGAACATTGGTCTGCAAAACATATTGATACCTTAAATCGACTTTGCCAACACTTTTGCTTCTCTAAGGATTTAAATACATGACTTGTTTAGTTCAATCATAAAGGTTTCTCAACATTGCTCCCGACGCACCAGCTAGCATCCAGTCACAATCTACATTTAAACCCGACTAAATTCAACATTTTCAAATCACAGTGGGTGGGATTAAATCTTGGACGTTGAACTCCATCCCATTCTGCAGGCTGCAGCAGGTTCGTTGAGGAGTGTGGTTGCCATGGGGGGAGAGGGACGGGGTGCTTGGTCTGCAACTATTTTTTTTACCAAGTGGTACTTGTTAAAAAAACATTCACATGAAAGCCAGGATCCAGGGTTTCCCAGCAGAACATGGAGCTGTAATGAGATGATCAATGTCATTCACTTCACCTGTCAGTGGTTTTTATGTTACGGCTCATCAGTGTCTGTACTACTCGACAGCAAAAATTCTAAGACGTGAGAGTGAAAATAAAAAGAACTGTATCCTTGGCCTCATACTGGGAATTTCTGGTAAGTCAGCTGCAGCATTCCCACTGATGGTTTTTCCTCCAACCAGGTAAATAGAGTAAAGAAAAGGATGTTAAGACAATATTTAAAGTTAAACTAGAGCCACTGTGGCTACAGACCCAGGGTTTTCTCTCGGTTCCTGCTCTAAATGGGAAAGCTGCCTGCGGAGTTGACGCTGATGGCTGCTATGTCGTCATGCAGCGTCATGCTATCGCTCAAAGTTCGGCCTGAAAAATTCCTCATATGAAGTGGAAATTCTCCTCTCTGTTTTTCGGAAGTACACAAACACGTCCCTGCATGGAGGCACGCACGCAAGAGCCACTGCTGATGGCAATATTAATTTCCTTCTCAAAATACCAATGAGGCTTTTGTGTTGTATAATGATAAGTGAGCGGAGACCACCCACCTCACTCTGGTCTCACTCACACACACACGCACATACACAAAAGTGCACACACTGCCATATTTAGAGTAATGCGATACTAAGTTGTCTATGCAATGTTCAGATCCAATCAAAATTGCATAAAGTGGAACTGTCCAATAGAGCTGCGAGGTCCAGCATATATTTTAGTTTATACACTATCGGTGGCATGAATCATTACTTTTCATTTGGAATAGTTTTCTTTTTCCTTCCCAAAGGGCCCTTGTCTGGCTATCTTTCCCAAACAGTGTAACCCAGTACTTTGAATAAACATGAGGAGCCTGTATACCAAATATTTGTAGGACTGAGATGGCTGGAAGTGCATGCTATAATATTGTATACATGACTGAAAGAGTCAGCACAAGCAATACTTATAGGGTAACAGGAGGAGACCTGCCGAGCAGGAAAACAATAGCCCAGTGATTAAAAAGAGACACGTCATTCTGTTTCTTCTCATCCAGGACAAAGTGAACAATTTATTATACTGTATTTACTCCTGTTTCTATTTTGTAGTAACTTACAAGGTGCTCTGGGAACCACGAGTGATCATTAATACTTGTTGCAATATTTGATTTATGTACACAAGGAGTAAATCTGAGTTTAGGTGCCGGGTATCAGCAGATGAGGCTGATTAAAGTGTTGAGCTGGTGTGCTCGAGCTACAGTGAGGAGGGAGGGGTGATGGAGAGAGAGGCAGGGGCTTTACAGATCTGCACATACTAAAGGATGCACCGACATAGAGTCACATCTAAGTCATTTTAAGCCAGGAAGGGATTAGTTTAATGGAAAAACTTTCTAAGTATGTAACTTTAATACACTGAGTTGATTTTTTTAGGGATTAAGTCAGTGACAGGAGACAGACTTTAATATGTTATTTATTGGTTTGACTGAGACACTGGAATAGTCATATTACTTCAGGGTTGACGAAGCTACATTCATGATGTCAGCACTCCATAAGGTAAGACACATGGCATTTCCTAAGCAAATTTTATTAGGGGAAAAAAATCTAAATATTGTTTTTTAAAAAATATTTTATCCAGCAACAGACTGTACGTACATTCAAAAGATATTTTTGTGATCTCACAGATGTCTGCAATCGACCTTGAACAGCAAAATGTTTTGCATGATATTCAAAGAGAACACAAAGTGATGGAATCCCACACAAAGCATTGAGATTCCAAATATGGGTGGAAATAACACTGGTAATATTACTTGGGGGAGGATTTAGTAGAATCCATGTTGCTGCCCGTATTCTTTGAGTTTCCACAAAGAGCGGAGCCTTTTTGCCAAATGGTGTCATAAATGGTCATAAATGGTCATAAATGGTCAATAATGTCACAAGATCTCAGTGGAGGTTTCGTTTCATTCATGCTTACAATCCACAATTCTCAATTATTACTGATATGAATCCCAGCCAGGACTATGAAAGTAAGACTCTACATTTTAAATAATCATTTTTTTGTTGTTGTTTTTTTTAAAATTGTCAAGTCAGTATAGTTTTTCTTTTATACATTGCTTATTCTCGACGTCCCGTCAAGGCATTTTGCACTATAAGACAAATACTTTATGTTATTATATTATGACCAAAAAAACAAAAAAACCAAAGATCCCTTGCTCTTTGGTGACACTGGAAACAAAAAAAACCTCCCATTTCACAGGAAGAAAGCTCTGGCAGAACCAGGCACAGGGAGGATCTGCTTCGACCTGTTAGGGCGAGGGTAAAGGGGAGCTTTCATTTCTTCACTGCTGAGATGGCAGCTTGATTGAAACCAGCGCCTTCAACAGCATCTACAGATAAATTGGTAGTTTTTTCCATCTTTTTTTTTTCATGTCAGTAATGTGACTCAGACACTGTGGGAGGCACTAGCTTAGCTTGTTAATCTTTACATTAAACAATTTCAGCTATTATGATACAGCAAAAGGGAACTTCAAAAGACTTCTTTTACTCTGAGTTTATGTTTAACCTATAATGTGTTTTTTCATGGCAGTGCTAAGCAGGTGTGACACTATTTGTGCAATGACTGTAAGGACCAGAGTTCTGTAAAAGTAAGCAGTAAATGAATATTTAGCTGCCTCTAAACTTCAGGTTTA